GTCCGTCAATAGTGAGGGAGTGCTGCACTGTCGGAGGGTCAGTGCTGAGGGATTGCTGCGCAGTTGGAGAGACGATGCTGAGGGAGCGCTGCACTGTTGGAGGGTCAGTGCTGAGGGAGCGCTGCACTGTCGGAGAGTTAGTGCTGAGGGATTGCTGCACAGTTGGTGAGACAGTGCTGAGGGAGCGCTGCACTGTTGGAGGGTCAGTACTGAGACAGTGTTGCATTATCAGAAGGTCAGTACTGAAAAAGTACAGACAGTCTCAGTATTGAAGAACAGTGTACTCTCAGAGGGTCAGTACTGATTGAGTGCTGTCCTGTGAGAGGGCATATGGTCAGGGAAGCACATTGTTCAATGGTCAAGACTGAGGGAGGAACATACTGATGGTGGGTCATTGCTGAGAGAATAGCACCGTCCAGTCATACTGTCAGAGGTCAGTATTGAGGGTGTACTGCACTGTTAAAGGACAATATTGTGGGCGTGTCGCACTGTCAGAGGTCAGTATTTAAAAAACCCTGCACTGTTGGAGGTCAGTATTGAGTGAGTGTCATGCTATCGAAGAAACACATTTCCCAGTGCAAGTCTTAATAACGAATCTTCAATTTCCCCAGAATCACAAGGATTTGGAACTTTGAGACAATATGATCAGTGCTGTAAAACACCCAAACCTTTGCTGCAATTTCCCATAAAGGTCCATCTGTACAAAAAGGAGACAAAAAAAGTGAGGAGGAATGGTGCCAGCATTGATTGTGAACTGGTATTCTGGTCATTGTACTGATGCCTTTTGCAATCAGTGCCCAGCAACTCAAGCCCCAGGATACAGAATGTCACATGAGGGCTGCATTGCTGCAATATTGACATTAAACTATCAGTGAAGACTTTGGGTAGTTAGAACAATCTCAATCTGTGTTCGCTTCGTGGTTTGCACTGGAGCCCAAATTCTGTCTGAAACATTCAGTGCTGCGTTGTCAAAATACTGTCTGTCAGATGTTGAAGGTCCATCACTTTCTCAGTGGGAATCTGGGACGCTATTCAGGTTACAGTAGGGCAGGTCTCTCAAGTGGCCTGGCCAATTCTTATCCTTCAACCAATATTCCCAAACCTCCCTGGTCATTATTATATAGTTGTTTGTGGGACCTTGCTGTGTGTAAATTGGCTACTGTATTTCTATTAGTAGTTCCCAAGCTTCAAAAGTACTTCATTGACTGTAAAGTACTTTGGGATGTCTTGAGGTAGTGGCAGGCACTATAGAAATGCAAGTGAGTCTTGTTTTCTCATTGTATCACGTGTCCATCAGGATGGTGAACCAGAATGACCCTGATCTTTTGGCCCTAACTTCCCGCAAAAAGTTGGAATTGCATTAAAGAAATATTGGCAAAAGCCGTGGAATCCCATGCAGTGATCAGAGAATTGAAGTTCACTCCGATCTCAGCCAGTGACCTCTCGGAGGATTGTGAAAGCTCTGTGCTGTCTTGGAGCCTGACCGTGTTGCTCCATCACTGTGTACATTGAAGAAACCAACTCAGGACACAGGCACAGAACAATAAACATTGCACTAATTTCAATTTTATTCCCTGCAGCTTCAACAATGCTGAAGAAGCTTGATGCTACTCAGGACAAACAGCTCCATTCTCATCTACCAAAATAAATACACACTCCCGTCCATTGTATGGGTGCAGTGGCAGCAGGGTGTACCAATGTAAGATACACTTTAGCAACTCTTCGACAGGAAATCCGTGACCTCTACCATCTAGAAGGACGAAGGTAGCAGATGTAGGGACAAACCACCTTGTGCTCCTCCTCGAGTCACTCACCATTTTGACAGAGAACTAAATCATCGTTCCTTCACCATTGCTAGGTCAAAATCCTGGAACTTCCTAACAGTACCACGGATGTGCTAACACCACATAGACTGCTGTGGTTCAAGGTGGCAACTCTACACCACCTTCCCAAGGCATTTAAGTATCATTCCATAGATAAAGGAAAACATAATCACAGCATCCTATACTCTTACTGATTCGAGGGGCATCCAAATTAAAATTAGCATATTTCCCCTGTTTGACCCAGTCGATCGCTATTAATTCATCCGCTGCCCACCTAAACTTTCATTCCAAATCCTACAGCCCACGACCCATTAGAAAGATCCACTTTACATCAAAGATATTCAATTCTTGGAGTCAATCTGCTACCTGGCTCTTCGTGTCACTGACACCCCCAGGATTGACTGAGTCGAATACAATCATTCTCCTTTATATAAACAATTCAAATTTGAAATTGTGAATCAATCTTTAACACTGTGATCCCCCAGTCAACTAAACTGCCTGTGCCCTCATCTGGGGAGTTCCTCGGATTACAACATATGGCTCTCTCCTACAAGATGGGTAGGTAATCCCTGATTTCCCAGCCCACTGGTTTCAGTGAAGCTAAACAGAGGCATCAATCTGCCAGGGAAGGGAAGCTGACTCCTCAGTAGCCCATCCAACCGAGTCTCCTATTGTTTCTAAAGGGTAACAGGAGCCTTGTCCAGCTGCAGGTTATGTCAGCAGCTCAGAGCATCTCCGAGAATCAGTGCCAGGATGAACCATTTGTTCCTGTTAATTTAATGTGCAGCACCACAGGATTTAGAAAGGGAATTGATGGGGTGAGTTCATTCTGATGTGGAGGTGCCGGTGATGGACTGGGGTGGACAAGGTCAGAAATCACACGACACCAGGTTATAGTCCAACAGGTTTATTTGAAATCACAAGATTTCGGAGTCTTTCTCCTTCTTCAGGTGTTCGTAAGAGAGGTAGTCTCAGACACAGAATTTATAAGTAAAACATCAAAAGGGTCACACCACTGATGAGGATGTACTAAACAAACCTAAGATGCTGTTAAATCTTTAATCAATTAGAAAGTTTTAATTGATTAATATGTATATGTAAATCCCCAAATTCCTTTCAAGTCGCTGTCCTGAGAGAACTAAAAGTTTTAAGTGTAAAGAAGAGGTGACATTTTAGGTCAGACAACATCGACCACAACACTATACCACCGGCAACCTCTGCAAGACATGTCAGATCATCGACATGGATACTCCTATCACACGTAGGAACACCACCCACCGTGGCAGATACCCATGTGACTCGGCCAACGTTGTCTATTTCATAAGCTGCAGGCAAAGATGCCCCGAGGCATGGTATATTGGCGAAACCGTGCAGAAGCTACGACAACGGATGAATGGGCACCATGCAACAATCGCCAGGCAGGGATGTTCCCTCCCAGTGGGGGAGCACTTCAGCAGGCAAGGACATTCAGCCTCGGATCTTCAGGTAAACATCCTCCAAGGTGGACTTCGGGATTCACAACAACACAGAGTCACTAAGCAGAGGCTGATAGCCAAGTTTGGTACCCATGAGGACGGCCTCAACCGGGATCTTGGGTTCATGTCACACTACAGGTGACCCCACCACACTACACACTCTCACACACACACTCACTCACACAAACACACTCACACACACATGTGCGAATCTATGGGGTGAATTTGTATTTGAAAATACTTCTATTTTGTTCAAAAAGCACACAATTTGTAGACAGTCAGTCAATGAGGCATTTTATAAATTCCTACTTTAGAAATAAAACCAGTCTGACTCCAAACCAAAACACAAACAGATTCTAAATAAGGCCTCACATCTAAAATGTCACCTCTTCTTTACACTGATAAAACCTTTAGTTCTCTCAGGACAGTGGCTTCAAAGGAATTTGGGGATTTACATATATATATTAATCAATTAAAACCTTCTGATTAAAGATTTAACAGCATCTTAGGTTTGATTAGTACATCCTCATCAATGGTGTGACCCTTTTGATGTTTTACTTATAAATCCTGTGTCTGATACTATCTCTCTCACTAACACCTGAAGAAGGAGTAAAACTCCAAAAGCTTGTGAGTTCATTCTGGACAATGGTTCAGCTGATTGAGGAGAGGGAGAGGGAGAAGAATGCAGTGGATACAGTTACCATGTGAGAAGTGAAATAGGAGACACACACAATACAACACGAGATAATCCATGTAATACCTACAACACAGCAAGCTTTCTGGAATTGTCCAGCCTGTCGGCTCTCTGGATACCACAAAATGTGGGAAGTTTCTGGGTCCTTTTCTGTCAGAGGCTATCCTGAATCACACCATGACTGCCTATCTGAGCAGGTGAAGGGCTTTATCCTGTACTCTGCTCACGGGGATCCCCACTAAAACCCCTATGCCATCTCCAGTGGTACCAACTTGTGCTACAGTACTGGGGAGCTCGAAGAGACACTGTCAACGTGAGAGTGGACAAGAAAAGTTCACAGGCAATCCAATCACAGAAGGAGGGACTCTGTCTCAGGCACAACGCACACTTCCCAGCAAGAGTCAGGGGAATGCAATCAGGATGCAAAACCCTGGGGATATTCTCTCTACAGCCCACAGTCAAAGAAACAAACCATTTGACTGTCATTCCATCGGCCAATGTGAGGAAGTGGAGTTTGTCTCTGTACATCTGTGAGCCTATACATCTGTGTGTGTGTATACGTCTGTTTGCCTGTATACACATTTATATGTGTGCACCAGTGTGTACATGTGTGAGGGTATATCTGTTTGTGCACATGTCTATTTGAATATCTGTCTAGGTTTTCACAACCTAAGGATGTCTCAAAGACCTTTACAGTCGATTCAGTGCTGAGGGATCGCTCCTGATTTTCTTTGAATAGTGCCTTGGGATCTGTTACAGCCAAAGATGACAAATGGAGCCTCAATGTTTTATTTAACTCACTTGCGGGACTTGGGAGTTAATGTCAGAATCTCTGACAATGCAGCAACCCCTCAGTCAGCAGAATTATTCTGGTGTTGGTTTGAACTCATAATCTCTGATTCTGACCTCTGAGTGATAACTGACAGGAGACAAGAAAATAGAACTTTAACTGACAATAGAAGCCATGGCAAATTGTCATGCAGCTGCGAGGCCAGTAGCTGTACTCACATTCATTGAGAGACACAGGAGATCCACCTCTGGACTTTCTGAAATCCTCTCCATAACTGTAGGATGACAGGTTCGGATGACTCGATCCTCGGCCAAAGGTAGTTTGCTGGTTACTGCCCATTCCTGTAGCCACCTGGGACATCCTCTCTTTAGTTTTCAGTGCGTGAGCTCGATCCTGGCGTAAACGCTCTTCATCCTTTAGCAGAGCAACCAACTGTTTGGCCTTCTCTCTCACATTGATGCCTTGGTCTTTCCCATCCCGGTCAACATACTGAAAATCTTTCAGAGTCTGCACAGTGAAGATGTTCTCCTTACATTGCTGAGACACCTTCTCTGAACCAGTCTTGATCAGATAATCTAGCAGGGTCAGTGCCTTGTAGACATGTCTCCAATTCTTCCCATGATCATTCAAACGCTTCCAAATCATGCCCATGATCTCGGAAAATGCCACCATGTTAAAGGTTAGGTCCGCAATGTTGGACATAAGGGAACTGGGTGGGCCCCAGGGGTCATTAGATGTGGCTTCTCGCACTTTGATCTCGGCATCTGAATAATTGTGGACAATGTTCTTCATTTGTCTTCGAATCGCTGAGGTGGCCATTTTCGGTCTTCCACTCAATCCCGACTGGAGACAAATCAACTCGATCCGAGGAGTTTGTATTACTGTAATCCAAGAGGACAGGGGGTCACTATCCCATCAGGATTGTCCCCAACCACCAGCAAGAATCAGGGAGCCTCAGCTGTGAGTGGAAGAATGAGAGCAGTCATCTTAGAAATCTAGAAACTCACACTGTCCCCTTGAGTAACTCCCTCCCAGAAGAGGGTCTCACCCTGCTGGCGTTGGGGGAAGCAGTTCTGGTGCTGACTCCCCACATTTCAAAGCAAGGAGCTACAACCAAAACACTCCGGCTATGATGGGTCTCCCTCACTAATAGGCCAGCTTTTAAAGTTAAAGCTCGAATTCCAATTCCTTTGTAAATTCATTCTGAGAGAGCTAAGATCTCAGATTAAAGTTCTCACACAAGTCACTCACACTCAAACACATCCACTTCACTCATCCACTTTGCTCACTCAGTTCACCCTCCCTCATACTTTACACCTCCCACCTCCCTCAACACTTACCCTCACACACAAAAACTGAGATTTCCCATTCCAAATCCAAACACACACACGTGCTCACACACATACACACACACACAAACACGCTCTCTCACACGCTCACACACACACACACACGCTCACACACACACACACACATGCTCACACACACACACACTCACACACATGTGCTCACACACGCTCACACACACGCGCTCACACATGCTCACACATGTGCTCACACACACATGCTCACACACACGTGCTCACACACACATACACACACACACACACACACACACACATACACACATGCTCACACACACACACAGTGTTATACAGAGAACACCCCCACACTGTTTCTCGACCCTCCTGGGATGTGCCGACCCTATACAGCCTGGAATTAGCACTGCCAACCTTGCAGTAGCCCTCTCAGTTCAATCACTGGGTGAAATGAACACTTTGGCTGGCTTTGCAATGGAGCAGGTGACTTCATCTGAGTCCAAGCATGAACCAATTACCCTTTGCTCTCCTTGGCTTGATGTACGCACTGCATCGTGGAATTAATGAGAGCTCCCAAAGCAGAGAGAGAGAGAGCCCGTTCAGACTGATAGAGCAGAATAAGACAGTGTTAGTGATCAGGGAGCAGAACTGAGTGAGCCCAACTTTTCAAACACCCATCAGTGCACACAAGTCTTGTAGTTTATCCACCAAATGATTGTTGCCCAGAGAGACCAGCTGTGGGACATTTTAAAAATTCAGACACGTTACCGAAAGCACAGAGAAGGAACTCACCAATCACTAGGTAAACTCGTCCTGTAATCAAACCCCAAACAAAGTGAGCAACATTTGCAAAACCAGCAACTCTGAGGTCAAACAAAGTAGGAGGCGGACTGGAGGGACAGCAAACTAGATCAATCCATCGCTGGAATCCAGGGAGTGTTCACTAACTGTAAAGCTAGCATACACTATTCTCCCATCATCACAATTTTGAGCAGAGGCAGAGGTGCTCACAAAGGCAAAATAGATGAGGGGAGAGGAGCCTGGTGGTCCCTTGCTCCACACTGTAGTGTCTGTGAAAGCTAGAATGGGGGGTTGGCTGTTTTTGACAGTTCAGTCACTCTATGAGGCTTAAGCATCTACAGGGACTTTACTGCAACTCAATCCAGATAGATAGAGGCAGGAAAAGAACTTAAGCCCTGGACATAAGAAAAGATTATTGATAACTCAGCTCATGCCTTTGGAGCTGATTGACTGGGTGGGGGAAGGGATCAATGTTGTGAGGGCAGAAGTGGAGCTGATCAACCGTGGGGGAGAGGTGCAGAGGGTAAGCTGATCGATTGTGGGTGGGAGGGGGAAGCTGATCGACTGTGGGTGGGAGGGGGAAGCTGATCGAT